AAAATACAAATTTATTTACAATCACAAGCCCAACAGTAATTTGAGTACAAAATCAGATTTTTTTTACCCAAATCAATAAAAAATCGCGGCCTCAATGTTATTGTAGACGTTTAGTGATAAATACACTTAAAGTACCATTTCTTTTTTTACTTCTGTAATTTCGTTTGAAAATATAGTTATTAGAACTGCTTCAAGTTATTATTGTAGACGCTTTATGAATTGTCAGAATTGTATTATTTGAGCCGATTAAATATTCGTTAAAATAATAGTTTTTTTAAGATAGATTGCAAGCAGAAAATGTCTCTAACAATATCATCGTGGTTGTTCAGTTGTTTGACCTATTCAAAGAGTAGGAGACCAATTTTAGCCTAAAATATGCAAAAAAATTGACGGTAAAAAAAGAAACACAGATAAGAAATACCAAAGATAGAAAAAAAAGGGATTTAATCTCTGTGCATGTAAACTGGTAAGGAACAAGTTGAGCATTCTATGCCTGATTTTTTCAATGAGGTTTAATCTTTGTTCATGCATATTAATGCAGTACATCTTGTGATTTTATAAGTGTTCGAAACCAACACCGACCGAAATAACCGAGAAATTATAGACTTAAAACTGAAAAACAGACCGAGTCTGATAAAAACCGAACCAAAAATTTCGGTTCGGCCGGTTTCGGTTTGAATAAATAATTCAGTTAAGTTAAAATTCGGTTGTGACTCCACATTTCGGTCGGTTAGATTTTTAAAAATTTTGGAGTCGGTTAGTTCGGTTTTCTTAGTTCAATCAATTCGAATGACCAAACCTCTAGTACATTTGTTTACATTTATTTTATACTCAAATATATTTTTGACCGAACTTTATATATTCATTATTTCCTTCCATATAGTATTTTCATATTCCAAAATTTGAATCATTAATTCCATTCAATTAATATTTTTATATTCTCATGTCCATTTGGATTTATCTTATCATTTTCATAGCCTTGTTTGAGTTTTTCTATTAAATTTCAGTTGTACAAAAAATCTTTTACCTTACCGTTTAGTGGTACAAAAAATCTTTTGCCTTACCGATGTTATGCAATACTAACGGGATTTCAATACTCACGGCGTTACCGATGTTCTACAAAATATGTGGGCAAATGATATGAACCGAGAAGGTTATTCGCAAGAGAGTTTCAATACTCACGGCATTACGCGAGATGGTGCACTAAGTAGTAGATAAAATGGCCATGTTTCACATTTTGGAGACTCGTCGACCGCAACGACAAACAACACGATGAACACACCCTCGTCTACTTATCTAACAACACTTGTGATCGCTTGTCCAATTTGTTTTATCATTTTTGGCTATTTTCGGAATGTTATGTTTTATATCTCTAGTGAAATATATTAGGACCTGAGTACATCTCTTGTTCTTATTGTGCTCCCGCAAATGTATCGGTGTACTTTTATTCCTATATCGTAATGTGTTTTGTAGTGAATTTACAACGAAATTCGAATTAACTTGCGGGAGTTTGTTTGTGTTTTTTTTATATATATTTTATTTATTTATTTTATTTAACCTGGGAGTGTTTATTACTAATACCATAGCCATGAATGTAGAAAGAAGATACCCATGCCTTTTTTGTTGCGCAAAGATTATTGTGGAGGCAACAGAAATAAAAATTGGTTTTCCATAGCCATGAATACATCTCTTGTTCTTATTGTGCTCCCGCAAATGTATCGGTGTACTTTTATTCCTATATCGTAATGTGTTTTGTAGTGAATTTACAACGAAATTCGAATTAACTTGCGGGAGTTTGTTTGTGTTTTTTTTTATATATATTTTATTTATTTATTTTATTTAACCTGGGAGTGTTTATTACTAATACCATAGCCATGAATGTAGAAAGAAGATACCCATGCCTTTTTTGTTGCGCAAAGATTATTGTGGAGGCAACAGAAATAAAAATTGGTTTTCCACTGCATGTGAATGAAAAATATTTCGTGTAACTGCATGGAAACCAATGTAGTTTTGAAACATTTTTTTTCTTTTAATGTAACCAGGCATATGAATGAGTGGCCGACAACTACTGTCACTGCAGGCCTTGGAACCGATGATATGGGGGGGCCATATGGATTATAGGGTTCTGAGCATTTCAGCCTATAGTCTGTGGTATTAGTTTGTTGATTGGGTTTAGGCCATCCGTGGGATGGGCTCATTTGTATTTATGGGAACATTGAGGCGAGGCCTCTTGGCTGTACTTTTCCTTAATTTCATTNTCTCGGCTGTACTTTTCCTTATTTTCATTGAATGAATGATCTATCGTTTTGAAAAAAAAAAAGAATGGTTAGTTGGGGGTAACGTGCGTGTCAGCCTGTTTTAGTGGGCCCAACAAAAATACAAATTGATATACATTCACAAGCCCAACAGTAATTTGAGTACAAAATCAGATTTTTTTATACCTAAATCAATAAACTATCGCGGTCTAAATGTTATTGTAGGCGCTTAGTGATAAATACACTTAAAGTACCTTTTTTTTTACTTCTGTAATTTCGTTTGAAAAATATACTTATTTGAACCGCTTCAAGTTATTATTGTAGACGCTTTATGAATTGTCAGAATCGTATTATTTGAACCGATTAGATATTCGTTAAAATAATAATTTTTTTAAGATAAATTGCAAGCAGAAAATGCCTCTAACACTGTCATCATGCTTGTTCAGTTGTTTGACCTATTCAAAGAGTAGGAGGCCAGCTTTAACCTAAAATGTGCAAAAAAACTGACGGTAAAAAAAGAAACATAGACAAGAGATACCAAAGATAGAAAAAAAAAAAAGAAGAGATTTAATCTCCGTGCTTGTACATTGGTAAGGAACAAGTTAAGCATCCTATGCCTGATTTTTTCAATGAGGTTTAATCTCTGTTCATGCATATTAATACAATACATCTTGTGATTTTATAAGTGTTCGAAACCAACACCAACCGAAATAACCGAAATATCATAAACTTAAAACTGGAAAACCAACCGAGTCTTATAAAAACCGAACTAAAAATTTCAGTTCGGCCGATTTCGGTTCGAATAAATAATTCAGTTCAGTTAAAATTCGATTTTGACTCTACATTTCGGTCGGTTTGGTTTTTAAAAATTTTGGAGTCGGTTATTTCGGTTTTCTTAGTTAATCGGTTCGATCGATCAAACCTCTAGGACATTTGTTTACATTTATTTTATACTCAAACATATTTTTCACCGAACTTTATATATTCATTATTTCCTTCCATATAATATTTTCATAATCCAAAATTTGAATCATTAATTCCATTCAATTAATATTTTTATATTCTCCTATCCATTTGGATTTATCTTATCATTTTAATAGCCTTGTTTGAGTTTTGCTATTAATTTTCTGTGGTACAAAATATCTTTTACCTTACCGTTTAGTGGTACAAAAAATCTTTTACCTTATCGGTGTTCCACAATACTCACGGGATTTCAATACTCACGACATTACCGATGTTCTACAAAAACTGTGGACAAATGATATGAATAGAGAAGGTTATTTGCAAGAGAGTTTCAATACTCACGGCAATACGCGAGATGGTGCACTAAGTAGCAGACAAAGTGACCATGTTTCAAATTTTGGAGACTCGTCAACCACAACGACAAACAACACGACGAACACACCCTCGTCTACTTATCTAACAACACTTGTAATCGCTTGTCCAATTTATTTTTTATTATTTTTGGCTATTTTCGGAATGTTATGCTTTATAGCTCTAGTGAAATATATTAGGACCTGAGTACATTTCTTGTTCTTATTGTGCTCCCGCAAATGTATCGGTGTACTTATATTCCTGTATCGTAATGTGTTTTGTAGTGAATTTACAACGAAATTCAAATTAACTTGCTGGCGTTTGTTTGTGTTTTTTTTATATTTATTTATTTTTTTATTTTTTTTTTTACTTGNAAAAAGGGATTTAATCTCTGTGCATGTACATTGGTAAGGAACAAGTTGAGCATCATATGCCTAACTTTTTCAATGAGGTTTAATTTCTGTTCATGCATATTAATGCACTACATCTTGTGATTTTATAAGTGTTCGAAACCAACACTGACTGAAATAACCAAAAATTTATAGACTTAAAATTGAAAAACCGACCGAGTCTGATAAAAACTAATTCAGTTCAGTTAAAATTCAGTTTTGACTCCACATTTCGGTCGGTGCGGTTTTCAAAAATTTTGGAGTCGGTTAGTTCAATTTTCTTAGTTCGATTGGTTCGATCGACCAAACCTCTAGGAGATTTGTTTACATTTATTTTCTACTCAAACATATTTTTCACCGAACTTTATATATTCATTATTTCCTTCCATATAATATTTTCATATTCCAAAATTTGAATCATTAATTCCATTCAATTAATATTTTTATATTCTCCTGTCCATTTGGATTTATCTTATCATTTTCATAGCCTTGTTTGAGTTTTGCTATTAAATTTCAGTGGTACAAAAAATCTTTTACCTTACCGTTAGTGGTACAAAAAATCTCTTACCTTATCGATATTCTGCAATACTTACGGGATTTCAATACTCACGACATTACTGATGTTCTACAAAAAATGTGGACAAATGATATGAACCGAGAAGGTTATTCGCAAGAGAGTTTCAATACTCACGGCATTACGCGAGATGGTGCACTAAGTAGCAGACAAAGTGACCATGTTTCACATTTTGGAGACTCGTCGACTGCAACGACAAACAACACGACGAACACACCCTCGTCTACTTATCTAACAACACTTGTGATCGCTTGTCCAATTTGTTTTTTATTATTTTTGGCTATTTTCGGAATGTTATGTTTTATAGCTCTAATGAAATATATTAGGACCTGAGTACATTTGTTGTTCTGCTCCCGCAAATGTATCGGTGTACTTTTATTCCTGTATCGTAATGTGTTTTGTAGTGAATTTACAACGAAATTCAAATAAACACTCTAAATTTATCCCTTGTTAATGGATGGGAAAGGCATGCCGATTGAAAGGTGTACATTTATGGAGGCTCATTTTCTCCAACTCTAATTATATGGAATTCTCGTTGCAAATTTTGAGTGTTTATTCATACCAAATTTCCTTAAACCAATTTCTGGAATAATCTTCATATGATCATAACTTGACATTGACAAGCAACTCTCAAATTTTTATCCAAATGTACACAAAAAATTTGTGCACAGTAACATATTATCACACGGATAAATAATCAATATGTCCCTTATTAGTGATCACTCACTCGAGTTAGCAAGACCGACCATGTTGAGCATGTGTCGTTCCTCCTTAAACCTTTCGAGAACAGTACCTTTCACAGCTACGGGTCTCTCCTGGTGAGCTTTTCTCGGCACCACTCCCCAGCACTCGATTATTTCTGGATATACTCCGGAGTTGCTCGACAGGCATGGGCTGCCAAAAGTCGTGCATGCGAAAGTGTGGCCCTGATCAAAGTTTGCCGAAATGAAGAGTCCGAAATGGTTCACTCGTCCTCCGAACCCTATGCCGTTCGGGATGCTCTCCGAACTGAAATTCACGGCACACTGGCGAAAACACGATAATGTTTTAGTGGGAATACACTTTTCGAAATTACCAAAAACGAAAAAAGGGCAACAAAAAAATGAAAACCCTGACATTCTAGACATAATTTTTGAAAGATAATTTCCTATCAAGTGGTTCAAAATTCTCATGTATAATAACCCCCTTGATGGTTTACCCAATGTAAATTATGGTTTGCTCAATTACCCATTGTAAGTTATGGTTTGCTCCAGTTGGACGAAAAATCGATGCCTTGGGGTATAGCTGAAAGAGAAAAGATCTCATATCCCCATAAAAATCGGCATGCCTTTCCCATGCCTGAGAAGCATAGCCTCCATAAATGTAACCTTCTCTATCCTTGACAACCAACACTGTTGGTCCGTCTCTGCAGGATGAATTTGAACACAAATTTCAATCGCAGTTAAACGATGGTGGCACAAACTTAAAACTGGCAAGAAATACTAATTATCACCGTAAAAACATTTGGGCTGACACAACACAGTTCTGAAAAAAGTTACATGCCATAGATATCTTTTAGGATCCTAACTAATGTAAGCCAAAATGACCATACCAAAACATAAGAAAGAGCAAGACATTAACAAGATATAGTAAACAGCTGCTTACGGCATGTGGCCGAGAAATGTGTTGAAACTCTGTCCGTGCAATGAACTATGATACAAAAGCTTCCAGTCGTCCAGTTCAGTTGGAGATAGTGCTCCTCCAATATGCCAGGCGTATTCACTCCTCATCAAAATTTGATTTGGATCAATGTCCTGATGGAGTAACCTTGGTACTTGAGAACCTAAGAGAAGGAAAGAAAACAAAGCAACTTACCTCAATCCAAAACCAAGCAGGATTTTATATAACCATGAAACAAGTAATAACTATACTATTAATGAAATTATTAGTGTTTACTGCAGCTCGCGCCTCGTAATTTGATACCCATTGAGTCATCATGAGAGGAATAAATAATGTTATGCAGTTTTTTACCCAATTACTTTCTTTTTTGATGACATGCTTGATAAGATAACAAATACATTAAGTGATCGTAATTTTTTTAACTTATGTACGAGATATCATTTTTTGTACTGAAATTCAACCAGACATCACTGGAAAAAGGTAATAACCAAAAAATTCCACAATAAGCCAAACAACACAAACCTGAATCCGCGGGAATTAACAAACTCCCTAAAAATTTCCTGACAGCTGGAAGAAGGGTGCACCATTTTCGGAAATCTTCAATAGACATGCCATTACTTGTAAAATTGGCAGCATTGATGAAAACCTCAATAACTTCCTGATGAGATCCTGCCTTAGGCTCGGAGCATTGTTGATGAAATAGATTATCAAGCATAGATGTTAATACGGCTTCAAGATCAGACCTATCATAAGACAAATAAGTATTCTTATAGATATGTTTATCAACAAACAAGATGGATGAGAAGAACACAACATAAGAATTCCAGATCTACCTTCCCACATTACCATCTCCTGATACATCTAGTAGTCCGTAGATGAATTCTTCAACGTCCTCATTAGTTCCCTTCTCATAAGTTGCCTAGCATTAAGTTATATTCATGTCTCAATAATTTCAACATGTCTTAAAAACTTATACAAACCGCTGATAGATGGTGGTAACAGAAACTTATATCAGCATGCTTTTACAGAATCTTCAGGTGCATTTGCTCTTTAAACATAATGCTCATATGACATCCATTTCTTCAATAAGGGTCAACTTAAGTTCTGTAGGTAGATTTTTAAAAAAAAAAAAATGCTTGTCCCACCTCAATTCAAAAGACATTTGCATCTAAGGTTGGATTTTTTGTTTTTTGTGATTTTCGAACTGAAACACCAGTAATAGAAAACCCGCCTGTTTGTCATTAATTCTACAATGTAACCTTATGGGGTTTGAGTATAGAAAAATAACATCTAATAGGTAACTTGCCAATTCAACAAGCCTCCAATAATGCTTCGAAGTGTGTTTGGAAACTAGATAAGCTAAGCTTATAATCTTCTTGTTTTCAAATAACCTTGGTTTGGTAGGATGAACTTTTTAAAAAAGCTCGCGCTTATCTCATAAGGTTCTTTGGGTAGTGACACACGGGGTTTATTGTTGTTTGATCACACACACACACACACACTTGTAGGTATGTATTGATCCAATAGTAATAAACCTCCTGTGGGCAGTAGGAAGGAATTTAACGACTGATAACCTAGCACCATTGCCTATATTAGATTAAACAAGAACTGCATACTCAATCCAAGGAATGTTCACACATAAACCATAATCTAGCAATACCAACACAACAATAAGCACTCAATATTGCAAGAATTTCATAACTAAAATGCAAAACCTACAAACCTCTTTCTATGAAGCCTTAAAATTACCTTAGCAATAACAAGGTCTTCAAACTTAAGCTTCTCATCCTTCCTCCTCTGCGTCACCAAATCAAAAACCCTATCGCCCAAGGGCCCATCGATTCCAATATACTCCTGCATAATCAAGCACGCACGACCATAAAAAAAATGGCGAGAAAAATGAAAAACCCACCTAAAAAATGCAGAAAAAGAAAAGGTTAGTTTCTAGAGATAGAAAGACCTTGAAGACGGGAAGAGAGACGTACTCTCCATTGCTATGGGACTTGGCGGCTAGCGATGAGTGGAGCGATCTCAGGTCTTCCAGCTCCGACTGAGTGAATGCTCTGCAAAATTGATTTGAGATTCGAATCAACTGCGTAAAATGGAACCAAATCGCCGCCGTGAGTGGAGGGCGGAGGGACGGAAAAACCTGGCGGCGGATATGAATCGGGGATCGGAGGAAGATGACTCGGAGTTGCCCATCTCGCTGCTCACCTCCTTTTTCTACGTCGGTTTCTGCTGTGTTCTGATATTTAATCGGGCAAAAGGAAAAATGGAAATCACGCTATTTTTGCCGCTGGGAGCCTGGGAGTGGAATAATTAACCACTGGTCAATTTACATATATATTTAATTGATTATTAAATAATTACAAATAGATGAAATAAAAAATCTATTTCCACACCTACATAACCTAATATGAATATTTAAATAAATGTTAACTATTAAATACTACTTATCACACACCTTTTTTTCATGTCTTTTCCCATCTCTTAAGAAATTTTGATTATTCACCTTTACAAAAAAAAATATATAAAAAAAAATGTGAATCTCTTCCTTGACCTTCATGACAACAGCCCTTGTCGCCTCACACACACGCCATCATGATCCCAAATATCCTTCGTGACACCAACTTGTCGTCGCCCACGTAGTCCTCGAGTATGATGTAATAATTTCCTTAATCGAGCATATTTTGCTATGTAATAGATATGAAAGGATAATGGATTGAGATAATGAGTAGGGAGAATTAGGGAAGAAGAAAGTAAGAAACAAATAGAAAGAGGAAGAAGATAGAATAATTTGTTTCTTAATTTCCATAACAGAAATGTCACCATATATATATGGTTTACATACGGGGCCACATGCCCAACAAATTCTCTTTTCCCCTTCATTTACTAAAACTATCCAAAAAGGTAAAAAAACATCACTACTAATAAAAACTTGACAAATGGATAATTCAAGATGCCTTTATAAATCATAAGCCTTCAACACGTGTCGCAAGCTCCTTCTCCCGTGCCTTTTGGTCTAAAATGGGCCCATCATCAAGATCGATTTTAGTTTTCCCAATCTCAGAATTCTCTGCAAACCCTAAATCAACCTCCTTTTCTTCAATTTCCTCATAAACCTTTAAATCCATGACAATACCCTTCCCCTTTTCAGATCCTTGTCCCCAAGGATCAAACTTTGAGAACCTTCGCTTCAGAAAGGCCACATCTTCCCATGTAGATTTAGAACTCCCGTCGACAGGCCATTCAACAAGTACCTGGGAGACATTTCGGCCGCGTCTCAAGGTCTGGCGATGATCAATGGCGGCGACGGGTGCCAGACAAAACTTCCCCTCCTCATCAATAGGTGGGAATGCAGCCTCGGGATTAGTTGATGAAGAAAGCTTCTTCTTCAGGAGAGATACATGAAATACTGGATGAATGCATGCTTCGGGAGGCAAATCCAATCGGTAAGCCACTGCTCCTATTTTCTCAAGAATTTGATAAGGGCCGTAGTAGCGAGCTGTTAACTTGAGATTTTTACGCAATGCAATTGAACTCTGCCTGAATGGTTGCAATTTAAGATATACCCAATCCCCAACTTCAAAATTTCTGTCAACTCTGTGTTTATCAGCATTCTGTTTCATGCGATTCTCTGCTGCTTGCAAGTTGTGTTTGAGGTCTTGAATGATGTGCTTTCTTTTGGTAATAAAATCTGAAACTTCTGGGTTGGAAGTGTGCACATAGGAGTCTAGAGAAAAATAGGGAGGTGAAAAACCATATAAGGCCTCAAAAGGTGAGCATTTCAGGGTGGAATGATAATTGGTGTTATACCAATATTCAGCCATTGATAACCATTTAGCCCACTGCTTTGGGTTCTCAAAAACCATGCTTCTCAAATCGTTTTCCAAGCATTGATTTAACCGCTCTGTTTGGCCATCTGATTAAGGGTGGTAGGCAGAGGTTAGGTCTAGACTAGTACCCAACAACTTAAATAATTCTTGCCAAAATGAACTGGTAAATATTTTGTCCCTGTCAGAAACAATGCTCAATGGAAGACCATGAAGCTTGTAGACTGTATCTAGAAAAAGCTTGGATATAGTGATAGTTGTAAAAGGATGTGATAAGGCAATAAAGTGCTCATATTTGGTGAACCTGTCAACAATCACCAATATGACATCCTTGCCTTGAGATTTGAAAAGACCCTCAACAAAGTCCATAGATATATGTGTCCAGGCTTCTGTAGGAATGGGTAGGGATTGTAACAGGCCAGAGTATCCCCCATTGTCAGATTTAATTCTGGCACAAGTGTCACATTCCTTGACCCATTTAGTGACATCTTTCTTAAGTTCAGGCCAATAGGAAACCCTGCTGATCCTCATATAAGTTCCTTGAATTGCTGAATGTCCTCCCAAGGCTGAATTGTCCATTGTAGTTAGAATAATGCCCCTCAGATTGGCCCCCTCTTCAATGACCACTCTCCCTTGATATCTCAACACATCCCCCAAATATTCAAATTCTGAGTGTGATCCAGGATCAATCACCTTTTTGTTTGAAGAATGGGTCTGTCAAATAGCTTTCAGCTACTTGCTTTACCTAAGCTGGAGCAATGGTAGTGATCCCAAAACAAATATCATTTACACCACTCCTAGATAATGCATCTGCCCCTTTGTTCTCAACACTCTTTTTATACTGTATGTCATATTTGAAACCCAACAATTTAGAAATCCACTTCTGTTGAAAAGGGGATACAACTTTCTGATCCATGAGATGTTTTAGGGCTTGTTGATCTATCTTGATAGTTAACTTATACCCTAAAAGATAGTGCCTCCATTTCTGGACAGCCATAATGATTGCTAGAAATTCCCTCTCTAGGCAGCCCTTGATTTTTCTAATTTAGCATCTTGCTCATGTAAGCAATAGGCCTATCACCTTGCATCAGGATTGCTTCTACCCCTTTACCACCGGCATCTGTTTCCAGCACAAAAGGTTTAGTGAAATCTGGTAATGCCAAAACTGGGGCACTCAACATTGCCTCCTTGAGTTTTTTGAAGGCTTCCTCAGCTTCTATACCCCAATGAAATGCACCCTTTTTGAGGAGGTTAGTTAAAGGCTTGCTGATGATTCCATAGCCTTGTATAAACCTCCTGTAATATCCAGTCAGCCCTAGGAATCCCCTGATTTGTTTGATGTTGGTGGGTGAAGGCCACTGCACCATTGATGATATTATACTTGGATCAGTTGATACCCCAGAGTGTGATATAATGTGGCCAAGATAATCCACCTGCTCTTGTCCAAACTGGCACTTAGTTTTCTTAGCATACAACTGATTCTGCCTCAGACTTTGTAACACCTCTTCAAGATGTTGCAAGTGGTCACTCCAAGTCCTGCTATAAATTAGGATGTCGTCAAAGAAAACTAGAACAGTCTTCCTCAATTGGTGTTGAAAAACTTGATTCATTAGTGACTGAAAAGTAGCTGGGGCATTGCAGAGCCCAAAAGGCATGACAAGAAACTCAAACTGCCCATGCTGGGTATTAAAAGCAGTATATTGTCTATCCTCAGGCCTCATCAAAATTTGGAAATAGCCAGACCTAAGATCAATTTTTGAGAAAAATCTTGCACCATCTAGTTCATCCAACAACTCATCAATTATAGGAATAGGAAAATCATGCTTGATAGTCAAACTGTTCAGATATCTATAGTCCACACACATCCTCCAAGTGGAATCTTTCTTCCTCACAAGCAAAACTGGTGAGGCAAATGGACTGCTACTTGGCTGAATCAATCCTGATTGAAGTAGTTCTCCCACAATTTTCTCTATCTCATCTTTTTTACTGTGTGACACCCTATAAGGGTGTTGATGCTTAGGTAAGCTGAAATCCTTTAGAATAATGTGATGCTCTACCCCTCTGATGGGAGGCAGACTTTGTGGCTCTTCAAACACATCTGAGTAAGCTGTCAATAGTTCAGAGACCTTGGGATTATTTGCAGCTTCCTTTTCTGGCATTTTAATCCAGAACATCTCCTCAACTTGTGATGGAAGTTCTTGGTGTACTATTTTATATAAAGCAGGTCCTGATAAGTTCCACTCCAGTAGTTAAGGCCTGAATTTGAACCTTTTTCCCTGCAAGTGTCACTGTGAAGGTCATCTTGTCATAGTCCAATTCAATGGAAGTGCAAGATTTAAGCCAGTCACCACCCAAAATGAGGTCACACCCCACATTGTCCAATACCCTGGGAGAGAATGTAAAAGAATTGCCTTGCATTTTTCATCTGAAATTGGCCACCTTGCTTGAGCTCACCATTCTACTTCCATTGGCAACTCTGACCATGATAGGTTTGACCCTTGCCATAGAACAACCCAATTTCTTTGCCATAGACTCCTAAATGAAGCTTAGGGTACTCCCAGTATCTATGAGTATGTGTAATTTCTTCTGGCCCACCCATTCATGTACTCTCATGGTGGTAACCCCACCATCTCCTGTGATTGCTTGTAGGACAACTTGTATCTCCTCCAGTCCATCTTCACAAAAGAATTTCTGGGGTGTTTTCATGGGGTGACCGATCATATAAAGACTCTTCCTCCTCTGTCATTATCATATAAGAGACCCTGTTTTTGCACCTATGTCCTTTTGAGAAAGGTTCATCACAATTATAACACAGTCTTTTTTCTCTCACGTTGGCCATTTCAGATGTTGTGAGCAGTTTGAATTTAGGTGGTAGTGGGTTAGGTAGTGGTTTTGGGTTTTCTGGTCTCCTCTGGATAGGCTGGAAGGTGGTATAAGGTTTGTGGTTGCTTTTGAGTTTTCTAGTAATAGCATCAAGGGTATTTAGTTGCCTTTGGCCCAACTCAATTGTTTGCTGCAAGGTTTGTGATGCAAACATCTGAATAAAGGACTGTAGTTCCTCACTTAAGCCACTAATAAAGCTAGCAATAAAGTAATCCTCAGTATAACCTCCCTTATTGAGTAGAAGCATGCAGGATTTTAACTCCTCAAATTTATCAACATACTCAGAGTAGGGTCCTATCTCTTTAGCTTGTTAAATTCAGCAATTATTTTGGCCTCTCTTAAATCCTCAAATCTGGCAGAGATGATATCCACAAACTGAGCCCATGTGATCTCCCCTTGTTTGTGACCGAAACTCTGGAACCACTGGGCCGCTTTACCCTCAAAATGCATGGATGCTATGGCAACTCTTTGGGAATCTGGAATATTAGGTATCAACTGAAAATAGGATTGACATTTAAGGATCCATGCTCTCAGTTGTGTCCCATCAAATCTAGGGAAATCTATCTTTGGTAAGGGGCTGATATAGGTTGGAGCAGGGTTTTGGGCGAATCTGGTTGAATGGTCATATTGGGAGGTAGATCCTTGTTTTCCAGAGCCAAAAATCAGGTCAGGTTTCCCTAGTAAGGATTCACTAGTGTTTGATGGTACCTTACTAAGGTTGAGTAGTTGCAGCTGGATAGAGGCCATTGTGTTGGTGATTTGCTCAAATTTCCCACTGAAATCTGTGTTCATTTCATGCATCTTGTCTTGTAGTTTAATTTCTGCTACATCTCTCTTAAGGCTCTCTGTTTGCACCAACTGATCGAGTTTTTTTTTGGGACTCCTGCAGGTCCTTGAACCTTGTAGTTTCTGCCATTTTTTCACAAGGGAACAAGGAAGCTCTGAGATACCAATTGTAATAATTTGCTTAATCGAGCATATTTTGCTATGTAATAGATATGAAAGGATAATGGATTGAGATAATGAATACGGAGAATTGGGGAAGAAGAAACAGATAGAAAGAGGAAGACAATAGAATAATTTGTTTCTTAATTCCCATAACATAAATGTCACCATATATATATGGTTTACATACGGGGCCACATGTCCAATAAATTATCTTTTCCCCTTCATTTACTAAAACTACCCAAAAAGGTAAAAAATATCACTACTAATAAAAACTTGACAAATGGATAATTCAAGATGCCTTTATAAATCATCAGCCTTCAACACGTGTCGCAAGCTCCTTCTCCCGTGCCTTTTGGTCTAAAATGGGCCCATCATCAAGATCGATTTTAGTTTTCCCAATCTCAGAATTCTCTGCAAACCCTAAATCAGCCCCCTTTTCTTCAATTTCCTCATAAACCTTTGAATCCATGACATATGACTACGCCACTGCACAAGTGTACAACCGTCGCCCAAGTCATCCTCAATCAAGGAACTTTGGGTCGAGCACAAAGTAACAAGAACTGTCGTCAAGCCATTCGTCGTCGATCCGAGCCCGGACTTCCAGCCTCTGTCGTACGCCAGGATGGAGACTCCAACCGCGAACTTACGAGCTGCGACCCTATGGCCCGTCTGTTGTCGCTGCTTGTCAGCTGCACACAGGCGTTGTCAATGTCCCGGTTTGTCGATGCTGTCATCACTAGAAATGGCCGATAAATTTCACTGGCCAGTAAATATTTTTCGTATATGTTGCGTTTATACTCAGTATATTTTCAGTATGTTGTATTTTTATTTACATAACATTATCTAACCGCAGTTGTGATGTTTGAAATTTGTTTATACTTTTTGTTATATTTTTTTACTTAATTTTATACCTACAACTAGCGCATAGCCCGTGCGATGCACGGGAAATAATATTCATTGGTTATTGTTATGTTAGATAATGAGGTGAGATATACGTTAACAACATAACACATATGCAATTATAATAATACCCTATTTTTAGCTGCCGAAATGACCAGCTTAGAGCTCGTCGGAAATTCGCATAGAGAGGTCTTGTGTGGGCGTGCCAACAGGCGTCCTTTTTTCTGGATCTTTGCGCCCAAATTGAAGGTCAAAATGACTTGTAAAAACCGATTTGAGATCTATCCTTCGCTTTATGAAGAGAGTAAGTTAACAACATAACACATACCAATTATAATAATACACAACCATACGGTTGTATACATGTTTGGAAATAAAAGTGAAAACAATATAATTTATATATTATTAAACACTTCATTGTACACAATATTTTTTGTTTGGTTTTTTGACAAATCATAATCACTATATATTAATATTTCATACCCTAACGATTCACAGTGGGGAAAACGGACTCATCAGACCAACGTGAGATAAAGATTGAGATTGACTCTTATTTATCGTCATAGTATAAGAAACTATAAGTGAGAATTGTCGTCTCTGGAACTTGAAAGATATCCTCACATCGGAAGATGTAAGCATCATCCGAGGAACCAATATCTTATCACCATCATGATCTCATCCATTGTAGGAAGATGATGCCAAGATACCTACACAATATTGATTTGTCAATTATATTTATATCTACTAAAAAATTCTTTTTGTGCAAATTCTAAAATTAACTTTATGTAAATAAATATGCAATAAATATATTATATTATTAGAAAGACATTAAAAATAAATAATATAATTATACTAACAATTGAATGTTTGTTGATATGTATTAAGTAATAGTTTGTTTTTATTAGATTAAGTAATATTGGTTGGTAGATAATAAATAATTATTCATATAGATAGTAAATAATAAAATTCAAATCTTTTGTTTCTTACATATTAAATGTTTGTCTACAAATTACTTATAAATCAATAACATTTTTTATATAATAAAAAGAAATACTTGTAAATAGTGTAGTAGAATTGTTATACAATAATATATATTATTATTATTTCACAAATTAAATAATAAAAAAAAATTGAAAATAAAATTTTATTACTTTTAGGGTTTGGTTCATTTACGCGGGAACCTCGACCGCTCAAAATAATCTCGCCCGATTTTCTCTCATTCTTCAATAATTTCTATTTGAATTCGAATTTGATTTTTTTTCTTTTTCCCGATGATCCTTTGCGATTTTTTTGGTAGCCTGAGATAAAATATGGAAATCGATTAGTATGGCAAAACTCATAATTTTAGGGGAATTTAATGCTGACCGTAATTGGTGGCCCATAATTATGAAACTTACCCAAATTGGTAAGTATTTAATATTAACTTAGTTTGACCTGCATTTGGCCTACTATTTTTAGAAAATGATAATTCTTATTATATATATATAGATATGTACAACATTGATATGTAAAAACATATTATAAGTGCTCTCAAGATGTAAAAAAAATTATACATACTAGACTATAATTTTTTTGTTGCTGAACCAAAATTTTTGCTTGGTTTATAACATGTAACTATGTATATAACATATAAGTAGATATATACAATTCACGTTTCTATAACATATATATACAATTTAAATTGTAATCGACCAGGTCGATAATTGCAATAAAAAGAGGTCAAAACTTAACGACGAACATCATAATCTTGTGCAAGACGGGCATCAGAATAATTTCAATTTGTTACGTTTACCGTCATTATATTTCAGTATATGTTTCGTTTTTATTTACATAACTTTTACCTGAGAGGATGACTCAAGAGAAGGTGGGGAGAGGTCAAAATTCACCATTTGTTGTGCTATAAAAATTGGATGTGAAAAAAAATAATCCCCAAGATAGTTACTAATTGCATGCAACTACCATAATAATTTTTTTAATGGAAGGTAAGTTAAGATTTAAGAAAATCTGATATGTATGCAAATATTTATGTCGATTTTGTATTTGTGCAAATAAAAAATTATATTAGTACATATACAATATTTTATGTTTTGGTTAGCTCATGATACTCGTTTTACAAATAGCGTAATGCTAGACTCATCGGACCCAACCTACCTTCTAAAGAGCGTTTAACAAAATTTAACAAATATGCACTATACACACACATCATAATTTTAGGTAGCCGTTAGATCAACTATTCACGACGGTTACACGATGATTTAACGGATACAAATCCCGACAGAATGGTTCCGTAACGGGATTGTAGCATTTCCCATAATTTTATCACTTTTAACAAATCGTATCTCTTGAAAATCAATAAACACTATTTAATAAAATAATAATAATAATAAAAATAAAATAAAATAAAAAATGTTCAACTGTTTTGTCCACTTAGCTTTTATCCCCCAAAATTTCATCTTTTCACAATCTTGAATAAATTTGCCTTTTCTATAATATTTTGCTAAAATTTATCAATCTTAAAAAATATCTGATCGAATATTTACATCAACTTAACCAAACAACGACTGTACTTTAAAT